TCTCCCTCGCCGACTTGTAAGCCTCTTGTTCTGAGCCCTGTATCTCGAGAACCATGAGAGCTATTAGAAAATTTTCAATTATGAAAATATTTGAAATTTTATGAACTACATTTTAGTAGTTAATAACTTTTTGATAGCTTATTTAGGTTACTAGAAATAGGCATTAAAAAAGTGAACATGCTTTTTCATTCCTCCCATTATAGCTATCGAAACGTTTTCAACTAGAGAGATGTGAAAAATTTTATAATCTATCTCAAAAAATGTTTTCCAGCTAGCTACGGTGGCGCCTTCACTCTATTCCTTCTCGCTTTCTTCGTTGACTGCTCCAACCCAACTACTGCTCTTACTATCCTATGCTTTATGTACTCTCAATGGGGACATTTGTCAGTGGATTCTACACTTCATTGCTCAGCTTAGCGCCACAGTATACCGCAACAGTGTCTGCGATTTCCATGTTTTGTGCGATGATTGGGAGGTTATCGACACCAGCGGTGGCGAGTTTGTTGAGGAAGGAGGTTTGTAGGTGGAATATCTCGAGAACTAAGAGCGTCAGGAATATGCTAAAAATTACAAAAATGTAGGAAATTAAATTTTAAACATTTTACTAATTAACCAATTTTTAGTAGCATTGCTGGTTCTTGAGATATAGCGTTTTGAAGTTAAGAAAGTTGTAAGCGCTATATCTCGAGAACCAGAAAAGCTAGATAAACTTACAAAAATGAATTTGATAGAGCATAAAATTTTACACATTTTGTTAGCTGAAAGTTTTTCAATAGGTTGTATGGTTCTCGAGATATAACGTCTGAAAGCTAAGCCAGCCTCGCAAGGTGAATGAGGGAGAGGAGACGCAGAGAAATTGTGGCGCGCCGCAGCGAGGGAGCGGCGCCTCAACTTCTGAGCCCTGTATCTCGAAAACCATAAAAGCTACCAAAAAATATCCAACTAACAAAATGTGTAAAATTTTATGCTCTACATTTTTGTAGTTAATAAATTTTTATTATCAAAGCTATGAATTATAATGAGATATCGCATTTTTAAATTGAGCGTTCCAGGGTAGCACCTCGGAATGGCAGAACATCTTCATTGGCCTCGCACTTGCCCATATAATTTCTGGCTCAATTTTTGTGATTTTCGGGTCCGGGGATCTTCAGGATTGGGCAAAAATTGAGGAAAAGGAGAGGGAACTAAAGGAGAAATTGAGAGAATCCGAAGAATTCGGAGTTGTGGAAGCAGAAGATGTGAAGATAGAGAGAATTGCAACGCTGGTGAAAGAAGATTCTCTGTGTCTATAATATAAAACTGTGTTGTTGTTTTTTTGTTGAAACCTGATGAAAATCTCGTTAAAAACTGTATAAAAATTTGAAACCTTTACAACTCGGTTCGCAGCAAAGATACTTTGTACACAGTGCCATAACCACCTTTTCCAAGACGTGATGTCACATGGAAGCGTTTTTTGATTAACGAGCCGATAGCAAATGACATCTGTAAAAGGCATGAGTACAATTGAGTCAGTATTTAGTTTACCCGGGGGTGTGCGGAAAAAGTCGAAATTTCGTAAAAAATGTGATTGAAAACAATTGATTTTCGAAAACTCACACATTTAAAAACTTTGGATTTTGGAAAAACTAAAGTTTTAACATTTTGAAAATATCAAACACTTTTTTTCTGCACACCCCTGTAGTTTTAAGGCTAGTTTACCAATTAGGAAAAAAG